TCTATGGTGGTGGCAGATTCGGGGAGAGCGGAGTAGAAGCGGGTATCGCATCTTGATAATTTCCTAGTAATTTTGTTAGGTTACCTAGCCCTCGAATTCTTCGACGACGTCACGGGGCTTCAATTTTATCATAATGCCAAGGATTCAACTGTGCGGGAAATGCTCGACCAGCTCGTGTTGGTGAATGGATATTGTAAGTGCAGATTGAAAAATTTTGACAAAAACCTTGATCTTATTGGAAGCTCGGTTTTCAGCCCTTTGCCACCCCGAGGAATTCTCCGACTTTAACAACGATTTTTGTAAAACCCTGATGCTAGCGTTCAGTACGGAAGAAGTGAGTATTCCTTTCTTAAGTTTGCAATTAAAATTTAGGTGATAAAATCAACAATTGGTCATGCTCAGGAGAAATATCCCGAGCTCCAAGACGGACTGACCATTCTGAAAAGTCAAGCCAAGCATTTTAAAACTTGGGAAGGATATCAGGAGCGACTACTTGAAGCCTGTAAGCTTTTACTGAACCTTTTTCCAAAGTTTTTCTAGGCCCGAAGCGTATGTTTGCTCACGGGGATATGTACCTTGCAAATTTTCTATGGAAAAAGCATGGCGCCAACGATTTTGAAATGTTGGCGATCATCGACTGGGCGGTAGAATACGGTTTTGTCATCTACCGCCTTCCAGCAATGCCGCTACGGGAATCCGCTGGAGGACTTGGCCCGCATGTTGCCGATGGTGGTCAGCGCCGAGGTGTATAACGAGAAGAAGGATGAGTACCTTACGTATTATTACGAGCAAATGAAGGAATATTGCGCGCCTGTCACGTTGCCTTGGGCAAGTTTAGAAGAGGTTGGCCATTATTAACAATTCATTCATTTTTTTTTGTAGTTTATCGAGCAATACGAGCGTGTTTTCGTCTATATGGCTACTGTTTTCGGGCCCTGCTTTCTCAATTTGGCTCCTACACTTTTTGGAGGAATCAAGGACGGTAAGGAACACCCATGTATTTTTATTATTTTTAGAAAACGACAAACTGACCGGACCGCCCTGTTTCTTGGCTAAGGTAAAGAATATGGTAGAGGAGGCTGTGCGTTTGATTGAAAAGTACATGTGATTTTTAGTTTCTTTTTTGGAATAAATCAATTTATTCCGGCGGAGAACCTTGTACAGTTTGACCCGTCTGCGGAGAATTTCCGCAAGTAAAGCTACTTTTACGAATCGGTGCTTATGGTTTTTACGGATCGCGATTCTTTCATGATCTGCTCATTTCAGCTACCCGTTTTTGCGATATCTAGTTTTGCAGGTATTCGGAGATTCGGTCTTTTTCAAAAGCTGGTGCTTTATTATCACCACAATGCCAAAAATCGGGACGACACCGCACGTATTCACAAAAATGAATTCGAATCATTTTCTAATCACATAGCTCAAAGATCTTTCAATTGTCGACGGCTTCAGGTCCGACGTATTAGACGCTGGTGTCGGTGTCGTGCTTGTCCTGCGGCTCCTCCTCAGCCACCGCCTACAAAGAGATTTTTGCAAGGCCTTTCAAAGAGCTCTAGTGCTTTTACAGTTAAAATTCTGTTTTTCGTAGTTCTTGAATACCCACTTTCGATTCCTTCTCGACGGCCGGCTTCTGGCTCGGGGCCTTCTCGCGCTTCTCCTTGTCTCCCTTCAGCGCGTCCTTCTCGACGGCCGGCTTCTGGCACGGAGCCTTCTCGCGCTCCTCCTTGTCTCCCTTCAGCGCGTCCTTCTTGACGGCCGGCTTCTGGCACGGAGCCTTCTCGCGCTTCTCCTTGTCTCCCTTCAGCGCGTCCTTCTCTTTCAGATACTGGTCCTATCATGATCAGTTCGACACTTTGTTCTTTATTTTCAAACCTTCATGTAGAGCAGCTTCTTGACGATGCAAGCCTCGCAGGCTCCGTTGATGAACGTCAGATCCCGTTGCTGCTCGGGCTTCTCCCTATATTTTGGACGTTACTTCGAACAATATTTTTTTGATACTTTCATGGGTTTTTTATTATTTTCGGCCAGCTGGGTCAGTTTTATGCGGCAACTCTAGCGCAACACTCGCAAAACAAAACAGATCCTTGCCCTAGCGACCAAAGCAGTGAAGCCATGAAAGAGCTAAACTGTGTCGGGGGTAACTTAGGTTAACCAGGGCCCACCCATAAATTAAGTCTGAAAATGACCCAAAAAATTTCACGCCCCCTAATTTTAATTCAGAAATCTCACTAACTAACTTTAAGCTAGTGTCAAATATTGTAGCATTAATCCAGAAATATCATAATTTGACAAATCATGCTTCTAGAAATTACGTACCATTCGGCGAGGAAGTGCTTGCAAACAGGCGATTGATGGCATTCCATATTGAGATGGCTGAAAAAATTGGAGTAACAGGAGGGATTTTGCCTTCGATGTTAGTTTCAGATACTGCTCAAAAAAACAAGGGAGCTGAAATTGAAAACTTACCCGCTGAGCGTCCGGCATTTGTTGCAGCAAACTGTCCAGAAACATGGGCGGTAAAGGCAGTCGCCGTCGAGAATACGGCAGCAGCTGCCGCACTAAGGAAAGTTATTTGGTCATAGCAATCTGACATTTCGGCGCTTTCGCATTATCGGTGGGGAACCTAATTTTTTTTTCTCCAAGCCCAGCAGCCTAGTAGTAATGTAAACATCATAACAAATTAAATGATATCACTTAATTTAATCGTGTTGTTAGGTGTGTTTCAGATCCATGACCGAATCCCTGCTCTCATTTCAGAAATGCCTAGTAATTTTGTAATGCGAATTTTAATTTTTGTTGAATTGATTTTGTTAGTAAAGTTTAACTCTTTAAAGGGATAGGGACGGCATAAGTCAATCGATTACGCGAGGGAAAGAAAATGTCTCTGCGCCTCTCCCCTGGGCGCGCTCTCTCCCCTGTTGGCTACTTGCCAATTTGTTGATGGGGGGATCGACACATGCCGTCGGCAGCCCTTTAAGTGCAAAAAGTATCTCGAATTTTTGTTAAAGTTGTAAAATTGTGCGCTATGCGTTAGTGAAAACGCTAGAAAAGGCTCCTCTATTTATATTAGACAAATTCGCTCCCCCGCCCTTCTTAATGCCAAAGCCCCGAATTTTCAGAAGAGTTTCGACGGGCAAAGCTAGCTCGCGAGTAGCTCACCTCGAGATTGGCCGACTTCGGTTCCATGTTCTTTTTGTCGCAGCGCGTCGGCGACTGCTGTGTGCCCTTTTGCTTGTCAGCGCCGGAGCCCTGCGCTGCAACATTGTTGGCTTATTTTTATTTCCTTGAAAATCATTTTGTCGTGTAATATCATTTTGCTGAAATCTAATTTGTCGAAATACACGTTGTCTACATTTCAATCTTTCGAAATTTCAATGTCATTTTTGCCTCGACTATTCTTCTGAAAAATTGCGCAAATTGAAAATGTAACACATCGAAATTTCCGCAAATTATTTTCGTTAAAACGATATTTCGCCCAATTAAATTTTAACAACCTGGTTTTCGAAAAAACTGAAATTTCGACAAACCAATTGCAAACCAACATCGCTAGCGTGCTAACCAATACTTGCTATTACCCGTAAGAGCCGGTTGTGCCGTCTTGGCCATCGTTCGAGTGGTGGCGAGATGGGTGGGCTTTGGCATGGGGTCGCTGGCTTCACCGATCGGCGCATCAGTCTTGACAGTGGTGTGCTAAAAAAAATATCTCACACGGGGGGTATGTGAATTGGGGCCAGTGCCCAGTGTTTGAGGGTACTGGGCTATTAGCGAACGGAGATTTTAGCAGGAGGAAGAACCAATTTTTGTTTTTCTGCCGACGATAATGTGTCCTAATGATATATTATGCATCTTATAACGATTAAAATAGTGCTTGCTAAAAGGTTAAGTTGTCGAAGATTTAAAAACCAGCGCCCAAAACCCGCTTCGCGGGCCTTGGGCGCTGGATTGCGGCCTCTGCATGAGAAATTTGACTTTCCGATAGCTCGGGTCCTCCGGACCCCCCACCAACCACACGCGCGTGTGCAACTGGCAAGGATGAGGAAATTTGTATTTTTTCACATTATGCAAATTAGACCTCAGGGACCCCAAAAATGAATAAAACCGGGTTTAACTTTGTAAACTTGTATTTTATCAAAATTCTGAGAACGCCATCGGAAACAGAAAGGTCGATTCCTCCAAGTGACGAAAAATTGAGGCATTTTGGACACGGGAAGGCCCTCAAATCTGGCCTCGAAACTGACATCCACACACACACAAAGATACACGCCAAAATTATATAAGGTAGGATTCGAAGATTTCCGCCATGTTCCATTTTTTCTAAAAAACAAAAATTTTAGCTAATTTCTTCTTTTATCGGCTGATGTATCTAAAAGCTGTGCAAAAACTTATCAAAGGGTTTAATATTTTGTCATAGGGCCGTATTGGGGAAAAATTAGTTTCTCCTCCAGCTCAAAATCCTCCCTCTAACCGTCCAGTAACGTCATGAGTTACCGAAATATAAGTCACCTGCAACTGGCCAATGTTGCCGACAACGACTCGTACGAGTGTCTTGCCCTCGTCCAGCATCCGCGGGCGCAGGTCATGTAGGATCTTCTCGCGGATTTTCAAGCATTTCCTAAAATAATCGTGGCTCTGGCGCTACCTGAGACTTACTCGTGGCCGTAATATCCGTAGCATTCGATCGAGACCTGCACCTCGGGTTGGCCATAAGAAGCGTCCATCGGAAACGCAAAATCCAGGCCCATCCAGTCCATGCCAGTGATTGCCTCAAGTACCTTGGCGATTCTGTCCGGCGTCTCCTTAAGGTCCAATTTGTAGTGCGCGTTTTTTAATAAGTTTTCACTATATCAAAAGCAGCAAAACTTGGAGAAAAATCTAATAAACGGTAGCAAAAAGTAAAAATTATCGATAAAAATTTGGAATTTTAAGCTCTCACCGTTTTTAATTGCTAATGGGGGCTTAGGTGCTAAAGCGATCAAAGCAAAGATAATGGAAAACCCTTCTTACATGAGCCATTCCCTGTGCGAAGCTTCTCGCGTTCCGGCAACTTGACCCTTCGGCTTGCACAGCTCGACCACGGGGGTCGGAACGGAATTGTCGTGGTGTGGGGTAGCGATGCCAGATAGGATCGGCACGTTTTGGGGAAGTCTAAAAATACACATCTGATATGTCTGATTAGTCACCTCGGCTCCCACTGTGGCCACATCTCCCGGCGGCGACGGGTTGCCACTGGGCTGCTTCGGCGGCGGAGCGTTCTTAGTACGGATGATGAGGGGCTGGCGGACGGGTGGTGGCCGCGTGGCGACCCTCGTGACAAGAGGGCGGCGTTGAACCACGGGCTGGCGGCCGGGTGGTGGCCGCATGGTGGCCCCGGTCACAAGAGGGCGGCGTTGGATCACGGGCTGGCGGACGGGTGGCGGCTTCATGGGCCCGGTCACACGAGGGCCAGGCTGCATCATGGGCTGGCGGTCGGGTGGTGGCTTCATTGGCCCGGTCACAAGAGGGCGAGGCTGCATCATGGGCTGGCGGCCGACGGTCGGCTCCGGCAAATGGATCGGCTCGGGCGGCCGCAACCCGCGCCTCAGCGGAAAACGCTGCACCTGAAATTTACATTGATAGGAAAGGCGGAAAAAGTGGTCTATGCGATCGAGGTTAACTTACGGGTTTACCCAACCCTGTGGTGGCAGGATAGGCGGCGTGTGGGCTGAAAACGATCAGCCGAGGGTTCCAGCAAAAACTTATTTCGCGTCGTTATGTTAATTCCAAATTCATATCGACCAACCTAACGGCCGGGCTCCGAGGTGGCTTCGGCTGCTGATTGGCATCCACAGGATCTGAAATAAGGAAACCTATTCGCTTCACGCGAGGCGAAATGCCCTCACGAAATTGCGATCAGGCAGAAGAACCGGTCCAACTTCATTAAAACAACTCCGAATTTACCAGAGAATTACAAAGAGTAATGACTCTGTAATGGGGGCCATTTGGATGGGAAGTTATCACGATTAGGGAAAATGGGCCACAATCTAAAGACTTCTTACACAATCAAGTACAAGAATCTTCCAGGCGACGTCACCTGGCGCCTATGACGCCGGGTCGAAAATTCCGTACGAATTCGTACAAGGATCTTCAAGGCGACATCATCTGGCGCCTATGACGCCCCGGGGACGGAAGACGTTAGAAGAATCTTTGCCAAGAACTTGGAAAGTATTTTTAAGCCGGCTTCATCGGCTTCGTCGAGGCCAGGAGAAGTTAGAAGAATTTTTGCCAACTATTTTTTATTTTTTTAGAAAACGGGAGAATGACCGGACTGCCCTGCTTCTTGACCAAGGTGAAGAATAGGGTAGAGGCTGCGCGTTTGATTGGAATGTACCAAATGTGATTTTTTAGTTTTTTTTTAAGAATAAATCAATTTATTCCAGCGGAGAACCTTGTACAGTCTACCCGTCTGCGGAGAACTTCCGCAAGTAAAGCTACTTTTACGAATCGGTGCTTATGGATATGGCAAGAGCGCTGGGACTAAAAGATAAAGCGAGAGTAGAAGCCGTAATTAGGATCGCGGTACATAATAACGAAAAAAAACCAAAAAAGGGATAGAATCGTGGAAGCGAGAATACTGTATATGGAGAGCGACCAGTGAATTTTATAAGTGCTTGACGGTGTGGAAGAACCAGTTGGTTTTCGTGCTCCACGAACCGTTGAAGGCGTCCGTGAATACCTAAGAATAAAACAAAATAAAATGATAAAATTAACCACATTAATTCGAAGTTCTAATTTCACTCACGTCAATAAAATGCTGCTCAGCATCGCTGCGCGTCATCACATCCACCTGGAGCGCTTTCTGAAACCGAATTCTTGCGTTTTATTATTTTTCTTGTTAAATGCATTTATTTTGATTTTTTGACCATTTCATATCGTAACCGGTTTCTCGCTCACCTTCAAGTACTCCAGATCGGCCTTCGTGCTCAATTCGGGCAGCTGCATGCCCTGCATCACCGAGAAGAGCGACACGAAAAGCGAGCGGAAGTCCCACAAGTAGAGATAGGCCTTGACGCAGAGCTGCCGGAATCTGAAGCCTTTGAAGCCCACGAGGTTTTGTAACGCTTACTTGACGACATCGTGGCTATCCTTCTGCACGCTGCCCCCCTTGGAGATGACGCACAAGAAATGTTCGGTGAGCACAAATCTGGAAATTTGGCGTTGTTGTTTCTAGGTTGTATTTTAGGCGTCTCTAAACTGGAAAACCTACGGAACGCGATCCCGTTGGATGCCCAGCTTGGTCTTGCCATGCCCAAGAATATGCCCAAAATCGATGTGGAACAGCTTGCCGCTGTTCGTCATCATGATGTTGTCGTTGTGGCGGTCCTACAGGGGTTACGGTATTTGGCGCGTCGTTTAGACAAATACCTTGATGCCCATGATATAGGTGGCAACGGAGTAGCCAACGCACGAGACGAGGAAACGATCGACACGCATCAGATAGCTAAAAATAAAATTTGAAAACATTTGCAAGAAACGTCGTTAAATGCTTAATCTTTTAGGTTGGACCATAAGTTCGTACAATCGAACTTCGAAGATTTCTTTCTAAAATTTTTGTGGGCCGATATCACTGATTCTTTCCCCCCATATTCGCTGAGTTTAATAGTATATGTGATAAAATTTACAAGATTTTAGGCGCAGTAGTTTTTATTATTTTTGCGTTTCTCTAGGAGGCGTCGCAAATTTTTGACCCGGACATCTTTCAGGCTCACCATAACTTTACCATAGCATAGAGGCGACAGCAAAATAATACTTTTGAGCTACTATTTAGATGCAGAAATATGCAAAAAGATAAATCGGAACTGTTTTGGAAACAGCGGCCCGCAGTCTTTTTCGATTTTCTAGTAAATTAAACTGAAAAAATTCTAAGGGAAATGGATTGTGATTTCGTCCCACGGCTCGAATAGAGAATTTGATTGTGCATACGTCAATCACTAAAACATTTTTTCCTGAACCGTTTTCCGGAACGAAAACATAGAATACTGAAAAATATTGCACGAACTTTCGGTCCAACCTAATATAATCCATTCTTCTATGATTTTTTGATTGAATCGTATTTTAAAAATGGCACTTTTTAAGCTTTATCGCGTCTTACAAAATTGAAAACCTACTCTTTTGTAGCCGTAGCGTGGTCCCTAACGTGTCGATTGATAAAAGACGTCTCCAAACTTTTCACAGCTGTTCCCATCTCAACAAATTTAATTTAGTTTGAAAATTTGAACCAACCTTCCCGCCACCCGATTGGATCTCGAAAATGGTCGCGCAATCCTGGACCACGCCGATCATACCGATCTAAAAAACGCGATAAAACGGGATAAAATGTTTTCTCTTAAAACTCCCTTAAAGGGCACGTTCAGGGACGTTTTTTGGAAAAAAAGCAAAGATTTTTGCCGCGGCCGGGGGTCGAACCCGGGCCCCCCGCTCGGGAGACGCGGATGGATACCAGTTAGCCACAGCTACAACCTGGCGAGGGGGGCGAGGGGCGCCCCACCCCGCAAAGGAGGGGAATGGCCTGTCACAGCACGGGCAGGCAGTGCGCGCGGTCCCTACGTCCATAGGGTGTACACGTTGGGACGAGTACACGGCCCCTCCCTGAACGTGCGCTTTAAAAATCGATACCTTCGTGCCCATTGGCAAGACCGGATATGGCGACAGGCAACAGTCTATGCCGCTTCGTTTCCAGATGGCGTCCATGATTTCGAGCACTTGGAGCACGAGCATATCTTGGCGGAGGTCTAAAAAGAAAATATCGTAACTTCCGCCTTTCCTCAAATTTAATTTAACAAGAATATGAATTTAAATTAATGAAGAAAGAGTTCTCTCTTTCTTAAGACGTTTAAAAAAATATATTTCCTTAACCTACCATCCCCATTCTTGAACAGAATCTCGTAGTTCTTCTGCCAGGTTGACGCCATTGGGCTTGCATTCCGCCACGCTAACCGCAACGGCATCTTTGCAGAACCGAGCACCTTGCAGCGATCGATCCTATAACAATCAGATTTTTTAATTTAGTTACAGTACGACTTACAGTAACTCCCCCAGCTCATCACTGGGGTCAAGCGGAGAGTCGAGGTGCTCAAAGTGGGACAGATTTCGCTTGAGCTCCTCTCGAAGCTTCTGAAAATGATGGGTGTGCTTGAAGTCACATAACAGACTACCTTTGTTGCGACATCTTTGGTGAACGACTTGAGCATGACGCTGAGCTGCGTAAGGCGATCCGCCATCCCCACCTAAAGTGGATACATTGGTGTACAGTCTATGACAATGTTTGGCGATTTTTCCACTATGAGGCGAAAAGGCAACTTATAAATCTACCTGTCTCGTGATCATCCTGATATGATCCTCATTTCCGCGTAGATACGCCTCCAAGATCAGCGACAACAGCTTGAACTGGTTGGAAAACTGACCATCTCCTTTCCCCAAATCCCTAAAAAGAAGGTTTTCGAAAATAAGAAAATTGGCTTACATCTCGTGCTTCAAATCGGCCAACTCGGCACGGAGGATCCAGAAGAGTTTGTGCCCGATGCGATAGTCGGAAAGGGCTTTCCGGACGAGGAGCAATGCCAGGGCTGAGCAAGCAAAGGTCTCGCATTTTAGGGCCTAAACGATAGGCTTTATAAGGTTTAAAACAAAGCCTACCTGGACAAGAGGTAAAATAAATAAATGGAATGTTTGGTCGCTTAAGGTCCCGTCAAGATGTTCAACAGCGTATCGCCGGATCGTCGGGTCCAGCCCTCTAAAATTGTGAAATGGATTTTAGTAATTAGTTTTACTTGAATTACAAAGATTGCACTGACCTTTTGCCCAGTAATAACAACGAAACTCCATGCGAGAGTTGCGCCCAATCATTCATTAATGCATAAACCTAAAAATCCCAGGGGTTTGCGAAGCAAGGCAAAAGACGATACCTCTCCATAAGATTCTCGGCTCTTCCACATCTCCTGGCACTCGCAGATGAGCAGCAGGGCGTCGGGGACGACGACCGAGATGAAGTGCCTAAATTTTTAGATTGTTTTTGATTTTTAATGCTTACCTATAATGCCAAACGTAGTCCTCTTCCTCCCTGGACACATCCTCGCTGTTCATATGTTTTCGGAGAATATTTTCAACCCGAGACTGTACGAGGGCTTGCTCGTTTTTCGGGACTTCTTTTGGGACCGGGATGTGACCCCATTTCATCTGAATACGATTTAGAAGAGTGAAAACCTTGGCGTGAGCTTTAAAAAACCTATGATTATAAAGTTTAAGATTTCCAAAACGTTAGGAAAAGTGCTGCGTGGACGCCTTTTTTACGCAGACGGAATTAGGCGTCCACGTTGCACGTGCGTTATCAAAAGCGTCGAGAGTTAACAAATTACTCACTTGCGTCTCGACAAACGCCGAATAGATCTCAAACGGCGGAAGCCGCACGCGGCGCTGCCAATTGAACAGCTCGATCATGAGCCGCGGCGAGCCCTTTGCATCCGAATTCCCGAGTTGCCCCTCGGCATTATAAACTCCAGGGCCTTTCACCGGTGTCGTGTGCAGGTTGAAGGTGTGATGGCCTAGAAACGCCCAATTTTATTTACTTTTAGACTTACCCTGCAGAAGCTCATTCTTCCAATCGAACAACGGCACGTTCACCCAACCCAGCACGCGTTCCTCGAGCTAAAAATACCGGAACTATTTGTTTAGTATTTTTTACCGCAAAACTTTAATTTTTTGAAATTTTCATGAACAAGAACTTGACCCACCAAAATCCCTGGCTTCTTCTTATTCGCCTTTTCCTCGACCAGCGATATTGATAAAT